AGCAACTTGATTGCTTCTGGAGTTACATTGGGCTGCCTTTGGGTTTTGCAGATTGACAGAAAAATTTTCAAATGTTGTTGAGGATCTTCGACTTGTGACCCCAAAAATAATACCTTATTTTGCAACAAATGCAGCATGTTATTCGTGATTTGGAAGGATTCAGCTTGTATCTGCGGGACTAAAATCGAGGTGGCCATATTTTCAGTTGTGGGTTGTGCCCAGTCATAGAGAGCCGCCTCTGGCACAAGAGGTGCCATTGGCGCTATTGGTACAACTGGGTGTTCTTCGTGATCTCCCATTGCTGTTTCTAATGGGTCAATTGTTTGTTTTTTCGGTTGGCTCGGTTCAAGGCCTTGAAAAATTTCTCGGGATCTGGTAATGCTTCAAATACTTCACCAGTTCTCGATGAGTTTCTACGCATGCACCTGTGCAACCAAGTCGACAAACGTTAAAAATTTCAATGTAAAAGTTGGGTATAGAGAGAACTAACTACACTAAGAATTTTTGTACTTCTTTCAATCGTAATTGATAATACCGTTAATTCCCCGGCAACGGTGCCAAAATTTGATCACGCTCAACTGTGTCTATTAAAAGACTAAGCGGGCGTTGCAAATATAATTCGGGGTATTATGCCCCGAGTCGAATCCCATAGGGAATTAACGTATCAAGAGAAGCCTTTAAAGTACTAAATTCTTATGAGTCAACCTTCTCAAACTGTGTAAATAACAAGTAGTGTTATGGTCACTACTCCAACTAACAGAATCGATAAAACGAAGATTAACTACTACGCAGTTGTAGATAATTGGAATAAAGGTCTAAGGTAATGGTTTCCCCCGTTGTTGAATTCCTTAGCCGTATGTTTCTTATAGTTATGAATTAGTTGTCTCTATCGATCATGAACTCTCCAGGTATCATAACTCTCTCTCAAGTAAATATGATAATTTACTAGACGCACTCTCTCAAGCTACGCTAGCTAGATTCGCATTACAGTTCACTTAGATCGCACCCGAGGTATCGTTATCTCTACTCCAACCTCTAAACCCTCGGTTATGACTCTCGCCTATACTCCGGGAGTGATGTTGTTCAAACAATTACCTAAATATGCACTCTCTCTCAAGCAGATACATAATAAATAGGAACGGCTAATTGAGGATCCTTTCAACTAACTAAAATCAAAACGTAGTTGAACAAATAGAGATTAACAACCAACTCAAACTATATTAATATAACAACAAGTTCATCCACAACGGGTTCACCCAAAGCCTTAGATTAAAAGAGTTAGCTACTCATAACAGTGATGTTCATCACAATAATTAAATTCATTACAAATCATAAAAACAAAAGGAAGAAGAGAAGAACTTGATGTAGAATACTCCTCCTTGCCTCTTGCCTTTCCTTTTCTTGCTATCAGCTATCAAAAGCTGCCGCACACTCCTTGGGCGAGTTTGACCTTCTATAGGTGAAGTGAATTTGCCCCCCAGACTTCCAAATTTACCCCCAGGAATTATTTTCCGGAACTGGGCTAGCGCGGCCGCGTTAATGGCCGCGCTAGTAGCCTTACCATTCTGCCTCGACCATCTGGGCTAGCGCGGTCGCGCTAATGGCCGCGCTAGTCCAGGCCTTCATTTGGTCGATTCTTTTTCTCGTCGTCTCGCTTACTCAGCTCCTAGGAGTCTTTCTTGCTTCAATGCAGCTCCAATCACATCTTTAAGGCCTTATATAAGCTCCTCATTCCTGCAACACAATTTAGAGCTCATTTTTCATCATTTGATTATATTAGAGCATTGAAACATAATCAAGNGCCTTATATAAGCTCCTCATTCCTGCAACACAATTTAGAGCTCATTTTTCATCATTTGATTATATTAGAGCATTGAACATAATCAAGCTGGGGCAAAACAATAGTCAAATGACATAAATCTAACCTAATATCATCTAATGTGAAGCCAAGTTTTAAAGATTAAAAAAGAGAAAAGAATATTTCGCTAAGGGCTTTTGATCAAGGAGAAGAATATCATCTGAACCCAATCTAGGCCAAAGTATTCACCTCGATTTCAGCCGAAAGATCTATGCTTACTTGATTTATGAAGATATGCAGCGTTTCTAGCAAGTGTTACTTAACATTGTGTGCACTAAAGTTCAAATCAACATTATTTTACACATAAATTAACAGAATTGGTAAGAATTTTCTGATTTTAATTGGTTAATCTGGTTCAAAAAAAAAGAAAAAATAGCAGATGTTACAACTCAAAACCAAGTCTTTATTCATCAAGATTCAGTACCAATATTATATAGGTACTTAGTTTCTCACTTCTCATTTATCACAGTAAGTGTTGGCTGCCATGTTAATACATTCCTAGTCCTTTCCCCATGATCTTCCTCTCTATTTTCCTTGCTCTCCAATGAAACTGAACAAGAATCTTGCTTACAATCAATCCCAAAAAACCTAACACGACGATTTAGCGCCTTAGTTTTATCACCAGATGACTTGGTTTTGATAATACTATGTTGTGCCTTAGTTGAATCTTGTGCAGATTGTGAAATAAAAGAAAGGTTGTTGGTATTGATAATCCCACTATATTTCTTGATTCTTCGCCTTAGTTTTTTCATGGTACGTTGTGGGACAACATAGTATTTTTGGCCAGGGATGAGGATTTCATCTTTGTGGACTACTGAATCCCATGGCTTTCTGAAAACATCAGGTCTGGCTAGAATGAAAGAAGGGTATTTTTCAAGAATCCTAGCTGCTGGAGTTGCCATGTAGTAATATTCAACAATCCCACCTGCATGTATGATTTTCAAGACAGATGATAGGATCTCCGACCGTTCCAGCACGGAGAACGAGACGGATTCAGGCGGATCATGGCGGCCGAGAGGAGGATTAGGCCGTTCCAGCACGGAGAACGTGGCGGACTTACAGGGACCATGGCAGCCGAGAGGAGGATTAGACAGTTCCAGCACGGAGAACGAGATGGATTTAGACGGACCACGGCGGCGGAGAGAAGGATTAGACCGTTTTAGCACAGAGAACGAGGCGGACTTAGGGGGACTATGGTGGTTGAAAGGAGGATTAGACCGTTTCGGCATGGAGAACGAGGTGAATTTAGACGGACCATGACGACCGAGAGAAAGATTAGACCGTTCTAGCTCGGAGAATAAGGCGGACTTAGGCCGACCAGGGTGGCCGAGGGAAGGATCAATTCTCCTCTCGGCCGCCGTGTTCTGTTTTTTGATACCAAAGAGTTTGTTTAACATTGACTTTAGGGGAGGATTGAATTCTATGAATTCCAACACCTTTGAGACATTAGAATATGAGATTAAATGGTCCTTATGGTTTGAATTATTAAAGGTTCGATGACTTCAAGGAAAATTATATGCGTATATGTTTGTATTTTCCTAGTAAGGTGCCGGATCTAATAAAGAATATTGAAATATTCTTAAGATGAAACCTAGAATTTGGCACCTAAGGCAGGCAATAGTTTGTTGTTTTGCAGTTGTGTGGATGTCAAGCATATGACATCCAAGTATAGCAAAAGTGTGTTTTTACCTTCCCAAAATAATAAAGGGCACAAAGGTGCACAAAGCATCTCGCGTTCACGTAGAGTTCGGGAAAAGATCGCATCCTAAGGGGTGATGTAGGCAGCCTATCCTGATGCAAGCATCAGTGACTTATTCCACGGCTCGAACTCATGACTTATAGGTCACACAGAGACAACTTAACCGGTGCTCCAAGGCTCCCCTCCATCTTCCCAAAATAGTGACATTCCTAAAAATTAGACCAACTACTCCTTACCTCTATTTCTTTATTGTACTTCTCTTCTACTAATAAGAGTTATTTCTTGAAAATGTGTTTTTGTAGGCAGTTTTGGTCTATTGATCTTTCCTCACGGTGCAATATTAGCATCGAGCAAACTAATTTGCGTGCACTTGCGACCATTTTAATGGGTACTTGCTACCTCCCATTACTGAGTCCCGCCAAAGCTTAGGTAAATAGGAACAAATTATATTAATCATTTACTCCTATTATTTGTCTTCGGGATTTGAATCTTGATCTTCAAGGTTTGAATCCACTTTATTGACCACTAGGTCACATCCTTGAGTTCAAATAATTCAATGTTGTTCAAACCAATAATTTTTTTGGGTATAGTTCATACCCTTGATCTTTGTTTTCCATTTATATTTTTGATAACGTAATATAAACTAACAAGTAACAATGGTAAAAAAATTGGAGTAATTGAACGTCACACTTTGCTTTTACCGTGCACCAATTACAACAGTAAAAAATACAGTACAACCATTGTAAATGTCAAATTTACTTCCCCTGGAGACCTCAACAGCACAAAAGCAAGATGTATGAAAATCCCCTGGAGACCTCATTGCTTGGAATTGTCCTAAAACCTACAAAAGGGAGAACATATAAGGAATTACTTAAGACTGGAAAAAATCTAGAGGCTCAAGGTTGTTCTAATAATGCTGAAAACTATCAAAAGTGCTAGCAAGTTGCAAAGGAAAACTGCGGGTTCGGCAGAATATATAGCTTTGGTATGAACTTTGTATTTGTCTTGAGAAATCTTTTGAATTATGTATAAATTATTAATTTAGAACCTAATAACTTAAAAAACTTGAATTTCGAATCCATAAGCTTCAAATCCTAATTCCGCCTCTGTTGTTGGCCCTACCATATCAATTGATATGACATATAAGTGATGGAATAGTTAAGGTGTGCACGAGCTAGCATGAACATCAAGACTATAAAAAAATCAATAAAATAGGAGGATAAACATATACTACAGAGAAAAGTTAGGAAATCAATAAGTTCATGGCCTCCATGAAAATGCAATCTTAGATACCGAAACTTAGATGCCTATATGAAAGTGGACATATCATTCTCAAATAAGATATAGAAATATCAGCTCACTCTCAACTAAGATATAGAAATAAAAAAGATATCTCTTTATTCAAAAAATGTATAATTCCTCTCTACTAGATTGCAAAAAACTTTAGCTTTATTTGCAGACTAGGATCGCCCATGCCAGCACGGGCCCAATATTTACTAGTGTTATAAGAATATAATTGATGTTATGAGAAGATAATTGAATATAAACAGTAAGATAACACACATATTTCATCTTGTTTAAGAGTTAAATAGATTCAACTTTCGCTGATTAAAAGTCGAATAACTACTGCATGTTACTTGGAACAAAAAGTTGTATATTTATAGTTGTATTGTTCACATACATATTATATTTACATAGCAAAAGAAGCTGATACACACAAATGTGCCGGCAAGCACCATTTTTGCTATGGTTGACGATACCTGTAAAAATTATTAATTAGCATCGTCTGGTTCTTTTAAAATAAGAAAAACGTGTATATTAAAATAGTAGAGAAAGAGTAGTAGCAACAGAGTTGGGCTAATTGGTTGCAATTGACACACTCTTATAGCGAATTGTCTATCGCGTGCATCCTTATTTTTCCTTCAGTATAGCTTTCAGAAAAGGCAGCAATTTCAAATTTGGTATGCTTCAAAATAGTTCCTGAATTGTATGAATACACAAATACTCCTCATAGCTGCATATGAATAGGAATTGATTGTTAAAGTGGTCCGAAAATAATAGTAGGAAAAAATAAATTTTTTGGTGAAGACTGTCTGCTTCAAAACACTACCATATACGTATAAAAGGGTTGTGAGAGCACACCCAAATTACATGCTAGGTCAGATAAACTTTTGGAAGATAACAATTTTCATTTTCAAATCACACACACGTATTGTTACGCGGCGCTTTCCTGAGATTCCTTGGAAGGGCGACGTAAGGCTAAGCAACTGATGTCAGTGCAGTTGTTGTCCGCCAACTGAGGTCCCCTCCGTACGCTAGACTAGATTGTCAGTGTCGTATGGAAAAACCAATGTCAAGAGCAATTGAGAGAACATGAATGAGAATTGAGAATGAAAGAAAGCTTGATTGCATTAATGAAAGCTATTACAGAAAGGAAA